AGGTAGGGCCGAGCAGGTCCCCCCAGGATCAGGGGGTTAAGTGGAGGGTGCAGCAGAGGTAGGGCCGAGCAGGTCCCCCCCGGATCAGGGGGTGCAGTGGGGGGTGCAGCAGAGGGGGGCAGGGCAGGTCCCCCCGATCTGGGGGCGCGGGGGGCCCCGCCCGGGGCGCAGGCCGGCTCCCACCTGTGCACAGGGGCGGTCTCCGCGCAGGGCTCAGCTCGCCCTCGCCTCGCAGCCGCAGCAGCCATTCATTGCCCGCCCAGGCCGGCTCAGCCGAGGGCCGAGCGCTCCGATGCGGCAGCGGCCGCCGCCAGCCGGGCCTCCCCTTGCATCAGGCGCACACACGCCCAGGCGCGGCTAGCTGAGCCCTGAGCGGGCTGCTCCCTGCTGGGCCCAGGGGCGCCTGGCCCCCTCCCCCATCGCCTGGGCTGGCAGGAAAATGCCTGTGGGTGAACTTGCCAGCCAGGCTTTGGGCTTATCCCTGGGGAAGGGGTGCAGAGAGCGAGAGAGATGGGGGTGCAAAGGGATAGATAGATAAGAATAATAGAATCACATGGATCCATTATATATACAGGCAGAATAATAGAATCACAGAATTGTATTCTTCTATGTAACTTCTCTGCAGTAAACTTTTTACAATATACTAAATTCAGTATCCTAGTGCTAAACATATACATATATATATAAAGTCATCATAGGATTATATTATGATTACATAATTCTAATACAGCAACACTATACGGATAAAGTTCAGAGCAGAAAAATCGTGTGTATATATAGATAAGAGTCATAGAATCATGATTCTGTTATACATATATAATTTCTCTGCACTAAACTTATGCATGTACTTCTCTTTGTTAAACTTTTTCCTTCCCTTTATATATATATCTATATATATAAATATATATATATATAACATTTAGTATCCTAGCATTAAACATATATATATATATATTATAAACTAATATATTATAAAGTAATGATATATCATAAACATATATATATATATAAAGTTGGTATATTATAATTATGTACAATTTTAATACAGAAAAATATATAAAGTTTGGAGCAGATAAATGCTATGAAACGGGAGGATCAGACTCAACAAATATATAGAAGAGGCAGGTACCATGCTTAGGAAGTTTGGATCCAGAAGCAACAAAATTGGGGGGGATTGTTATGGGAGGAATGGATTAGAAGGAGATTTTCCCACCTCTAAATTTGGATCTGGGGTAAAAATGTGGCTGGGAGGTTTTCTCCATGATTAGGCCCAAAATATATTTTCTTTCTCTCTCACACACACACACACACACACACACACTTTGGATCTAGAATTGACACCCCCCCCCCCCCAAAAAAACACACCTAAAATTTGAGGTTTGGATTGGAGGAAGTTTCCCCCAAATTTGGATCCAGAACTGACCCCTAAAAGAAAATATGTGTGTGTGTGTGGGGGGGGGAAATTAACCCCCTGAAACCATAATTTCTGGAGGCAGATTAGGAGGGTTCCTCAAATTTTGGACCCAGAACTGCCCCCTTAGAAAGAAAAATTGGGGTGGTTGAATTAGGGGAAATTTCCCCCATATTTGGCTCCAGAAATGACTCCTTTAAAATCTTAAGGGGAGGGAGGTAGATAAGGAGAAAGTTCCCTCCAAATTGGAGCGGGGAGGAGGATCTGGATTATTCCTCACCCATGTTCCCTTAAACCCCATTTTTATGGCCCTGATCCTGCCAGGTGCATCCCTATTGGCAGGAGGAGTTGGGTGTGGGGGTGGGTCTTTTTGGAGAGGGATTGGATTTTCCAGCGGGGTCTGGAATCTGCCCCTTTTATAGCTCTGGTTCTGCTGGGGGCACCCCACATTTTCAGGGTGTTCAGATCTGGGTTGCTGAGATGGCATTTGGATCCTCTCTGTATTTTGAGGGTCATGTTAATATTGGGGTTCTGGCCCAGCCAGGAGGAAGAGACAGACAGTTGAGTAGCCATATGTAGGGAAGGACTAGGATGGGCCAATAGGCCCTGTCTGGCTGTGGAGTCTGCAGGCCTGGCATGCACCTGTGGACCCTGGAGGGGGTGGGGATGAGGGATCAGCTTCATTTGTGGCATCCCCATCCCTTCCTGGGATGCTGCTGAAGGCTCTCGGAGGAGTTAATGAGCCTCATGGGGGGGAGATGAGCTGGGAGGGGTTACAGACATTGTCCCCTCCTCCACCACTACCACCACCAGGCCTGTGCAGAGGACTAGGGAATGGGAATACAGATCTATACCCACTGAGCCCCTCTGCTCCGGGGGAGAGGATAGGGCCAGCTACAGATCTCCACCCCTCAGGATAGGTGCGGACCTCAGGGAGTCTGCTGGATCCCGACGGGGCTGGGGGTGGGGAACCATAGCTCAGTCCACAAAGTGGCGTGTTTTGCACCCCTGCTGCCATGTGGCGTTCTTGACATGGCTGCATTTTGCGGGGCACTGGATGGGTGTCTCACGCCACTCCCTGTGTTGTGCCATGGTGGTTTTTATCGCCAGGCTGCCTGGGTTGCAGTCATGATGCAGCCACATTAAAGGGGGAGCAGCCTGACAGTGATCCTCAAAAGAGGGACACGCCCCCGACCTGGCAGGACTCCTCTTCAACCCAGTCCCTATCTCAGCTGCCCCCCACCGCCCGTTCTCAATGGGACTGATTTTCCGGTCGCGTTTGGTCACAGCCGCCAAGCCGTTTGTCCCTCTAGCCACCCTGTACATGGCACCTCCCATTGGCCGGATGGGGGTCACATGATCGCTCCCCGCAGGATACAATATGGCGCCGCCCATATAGCTGCTCCTGGAAGGCGTGGAGGGAAGGCTGAGTTTGCTGCGCTTTCTGGGTGAGGGAAGCCTGGGGTGTTAATGAGGGGAAGGGGATACTCTGCCCCTCACCCCAGGGAGGGCCCCGTGGGCTCAGGATTTATTTAGCTTTTTTGGGAGGGTATCTCACATTTCAGCTCTCAAATCCTCAGTCTGGGGGACATGTGGGGATTATTCTCCCCTTTCCTCCTCCTCTGAGTTATCCTGCACGAGGCTCAAAACCTGGCATCGGCTCCTTAAACAGAGTCCCCTCCCATTCCTCCCCCCACGTTAATTCTGAGGGATTGAGGCCCTCTGGTCCTTCAAGCAGTTTGAGCGGTCTCCCAGAAAACGTCAGGCGTGGGGGGGGGGGGGGGTAATGTCTTGCAGTTTCATTGTAAGTCTCATGATACTTGGTGGCTTGTCCGTCTCCTTCTCTCCCCCCCCCCCCAAAAAAAAAACCAACCTTGGCTCCTTGTCTCATCTGACTACATGAGAATCTCAAGCTTTTGTTTAAGAAAAAATAACCATCTACCCTTTATTAGGGTTGCTACCTCTGAAGTACACACAAAAAAACCCCAAACCCACCCTGTGGTATCTGAACTGTTTCAGCTGGCAAGCTACCGCAAAAAAAGGGACGATCCTGGGGAACCCCAATGGCACCCATGCCAGAAATCAAATAAAAAGAACCCCATGTGTTATTTCAAAGAAATCGGATGACTTTAAGCCAACCTTGTAACGTCTTTCATTGTGATGACTAATTTTTGGATGTGTGGGGCTGACAATGCTGTTGTATTGCAGTAACACGTGGGAGCCCAAGCCATGGAGCAGGGTCCTGTTTTGTGAGGCGCTGTATGGGCACAAAACAAAAAAGATGCCCTGTCTTACAGAACTCATGAGCTATGGGTTTGTTTTTGCACTGATATATTTTTTTCTATGTAGGTAGTTAAATCATTGCCACATCTTCTTGCGGCTGTGGTTTTAGTAGTATAAAGATGTGCTGGTAAATTTACCAAATCAAGCTCTGCTGATCTCAAAACCTTTATAGGGTAGGGCTGCATCCACTCCAGATTGTTGCGGCAATGTAACTAGATCAGTTTTCCCACAAAATGCAGATAATAGCACTTCCTTCCCTCCCAGTGGTCGTGAGTAGAAAGACGTTAAAGATTGGGCAGTGCTTGGGTACTACAGGAATGAGAGCTACAGAAGTAGCGTTTGCATGCTCATTGGCAAAGTCCTAATTCAAATTCCTCCTTAACTCTCCTTTGCCATGAGGGCTACAAAAACACTTGGCAATGGCTGATGTACAGAGACCGCTGCCCATCACACTTACTGATATGTTTTTCTTTTGCTCCCCTGTCTACAGCCATCTGTTGCCTCTTCTTATATTTAGATTGCAGGCGCTTTGGGGCAAGGCCTGTCTTTGTTCTGGGGCTGAACACTGTGAGGCTGTGGCCTGTGACTCTTAGGTGCGACTGTAATACACCGAATAACATACGGTGCCTAGTGCACTACCACAATACAACCTGTAGTAAGAGCGTAGTTTATAAAGTATTTGGGGATCTTCAGGGACTATTTCTCTCTTGTATTCTGGAGACAGCTGTGACACAAGATGTTCTGATGAAAGCTGAGTTCGCTCTACTGGCTTGGTTTATGAGACGCTGCATCCGGCAGCCGGGCAGAACTGTAACAACTGGAAGGGGCCGGAGATTCCCGCCACCCAAAGATCTGCCAGCCAGAAAGCTCTGTCCTTCCAAGGACATGGAGGGGCAATGCCCACAGGAAGCCAATGGCTCCCATCCAGAGCAGAGTGAGGAGCGGCTGCCTACATCTGACCTAGCGATGGATGCTGGGAGCTGCGCTGGCCCCGTGCAAACTGGGGAGACGGTGATTGCGGAGGGGAAAGCGAAGATCATCTTCCCCAGTGCCAACGAAGTGTTCTACAACCCCGTGCAAGAGTTTAACCGAGACCTGACGTAAGTATAAGTAAGAGGAAGACCTGGAGCTGTTTATCTTAGGTACTTATCTGGCCCCCATCACGGTAATAAATGAGCACTTTGCAACCCTCCTGTGAGGCTGGGCAGGGCTATTATCCCATTGTACAGATGGGGAAATCGAGACCCAGGTTCACACAGGCAGTCTGTGGCAGAGCACGGAATTGAACCCAGGTCTCCAAAACACCACCGTTCTTCTCCTGTTAGACCATACCTCTCTAGTGCCAAGCACCTGCTGGGGGGGGGGGGGGCTTAACGTGTCTCCAATCAGGGCCCCCCAAATCCAGTCGCTTTTGAAATCAGGGCTAACAAGACAATAGAGAGAATTGGTTGGAAAAACTGCGCAGGAACATGAGTCCGCCAGGGGACGTGACCTAGATCTGAGCCTTAATGGGCACTAAGGCCTGTGTGTCTGTCTCTCTCTCTCTCTCTGACCTTCCGCCTCAGGTGTGCCGTGATCACAGAATTCATTCGCCTTCAGCTTTCGGCCAAGGGGATTCAGAGTAAGTGGAAATGTCTGTGTGTGTCTCTCTCTCTCGAATATCCCCCGCCCCAATGCAGTGAGCAGGATGGTTAACTTCGTACGACCCTCACTAGCACCCTAGCTTTCAAAGCCAGTCGGGACCCCTGTGACCCTCTGGCCTCCTGTCCCACTTCCGCCTTGAGCCCAGTGCAGCAGGACCAGGGGATGCCAGGCGCTCGGCTCTGGTTCTCAGTTATTCCCTTTCTGCGCTGCTTGCGGGTGGGAATTTTAAGCTGCTTCTGTGGTCTCCCTATTTGAGCTCCACAGGGGCCTCCTTAGCCCGAAGCTGAAGCTACACTGCTCCCTATCGCCCCTAGGGTGCAGGGACTAGCCAGAGTCCAGGACACTGGCATAGCGGGCAGATCGGGGTGTGGCCAGAGGCTGGGAACAGGGATAGTTCAGGGCCTTAATGTTAGGGCCCCCAGCACAGAGGGGCATCCCGTCCTCCCCCTCCTCCCCCACCCCAAACTGCAAGGCCTCTTTGCACACCAGAGCTAAAGGCCCACCCAGAGATGCTGCCCAGATCTGTGGCGGTGCTGGAGTGGGAAGGGGGGGGGGGGCGGCTGACACCGTCGCATCCACCCCGCTCTGTCTCTTGCAGTTGCCGTCCCAGGAGAGGAGAAGGTCGAGAAGGTGGTTGTGGATCTTTCCGAAGGGGAGGAGGCTGGGTCGGAACCAGCGCCCGACGAGGAGGGGGCAGCGCGGGCAGTGGCGGCAGTGGGAGAAGTGTGCAAGGTGCATATAAACCTAGCGCTACCTTTCCCGTAGCGCCAGGGCCCCCGTCTTGCCAGGCACTGCCCAGAGAGAGAAACGGTCCCTGCCTCGAGGAGTTCACAGGCCAAAGAGACCAGCCGATCTCTCTTTGGGTAGGATGGGTGGGTTCCCCTAAATCGCTCCCCCCAGCGGTGGCCCTCCCACACCCTCTGGGTCTGAAGCAGGATGTGGGGAGGGGAGATTCTCCCTTGACCAGCCCGCCCCCAGTTCTTAAGGAGGATCCGAACCCTCTCCCTATTTAAGCTGCAGCTTTATGCTGCCTTCATCCACGGCACTGCAACCCGTCTTGGTGCGAGGAAGCTCTGGGCAGGTCTGCGCTGGCCCCTCCAGCTCGGTGGGCGCGCAGGGTCTTGCTAACCTTGCCCGGGAATTGGAGTTTGGCATGCAGGCGGATGGAGAAACTTCCTAATCCCGAGCTGACCACTGGGCTCCAGGCATCAGTGTCTGGGCAGGAGTCTCCAATGCGCTGAGGCACGTAACCCACGTGATGGCTGGGCTGCGGGCAGAGGTGGATGAGCCTGCTTCAGCCGTGGCTAACCGACCTGGGGCTTGTGCTGTTGGATCCAGAGGTCCCGGGTTCGATTCCCCGCTGATCGCTGACCCCGGGCGTGTGGGCTTCGGCTGAGATGTGGTCCCTTCCCCCCCCGCGCAGGAAGGAGTGCGGATCTTGGAGGCCTTGGCCGCCTCGGGGCTCCGCTCCATCCGCTTTGCCAAGGAGGTGCCTGGCCTCCGGGCCGTGGTGGCCAACGATTTCTCCTCCAAAGCCGTCGAGCTCATGGCGAGGAACGTCGAGTTCAATGGAGTCGGGCACCTGGTGACGTCGAGCTTGGCCGATGCCAGGTAAAGCGGGGGGGAGAGGGGGATGGGCCGCTCTGGCATCACGTGCACTGAGCGGGTTGGCCAGAGCTTCCCGATCGAGCCGGCCCAGAAGCAGGAGGGCGAATGGCCTTGTACCTGGAGGATTTCGGGGGGGGGGGAATGGGACTAGTTGGCTCTGGTGAGGGGAATCTGGCGAAATCCCCAAGTGGCTGGTTAGCAGGTAGCGACTCCTGTACCGAATGGGGTGGGTGGGTTCGCGGGACAGGCCTCCAGCGGCCACGATGGCTAACAACTACCCGCTCCTGTTGGCAGAGAGGTGGGGCGGAAGCTGTTCGGGGCAGAGATTGTCTTTGGGTTCTGTCTCTGTACAACACCAGGGGGCCCTGGGCCGCCACTGGGCACTTCGGTGCTACCGTAATACACTTAGTAAATAACAAGCCAGGGAGACTGTGCCCTATAAGGGGGTCTCAGTGCAGGGGCTGGGGGAGGGGCTGTGTGGGTGGGGGGCTTGGTGGATAAGAGCCCTCGGATATCCTAAGCTGCGAACTGGCCCCGCAGACCCCCCTGCTCAGCGTCTGTCCCCGTCCCGCCTGCAGGATGTTGATGTATCAGCAGAAGGCGGAGAAGCATCCGTTCGACATCATCGACCTGGATCCGTACGGCAGCCCTGCCACCTTCCTGGACGCCGCCGTGCAGGCGGTGAGTGAAGGAGGTGAGTGGGGTGGGGGGCAGCACCAGGGCTGCTGGCGCTGCGAGCTTCCTTACAGCAGTGACTTGCCACATTTGCAAGCTTCCACGGATGCCTTGGATGTAGGATCTGGTGGGTTAGAGCAGGGTGGCCAGGAATCCGCACTCCTGGTTCCATCTGTCCCAGGGGCAGATCACTTCCCTCCTCCACCTCTGAAGCAAGGACCCCAGCGGCTGTCCAAGGCTCTGAACTCTGGGTGGAGACGCAGCTAGGCTGGGTTGTCCAATCCTATAGCAGGTGAGGCCGGTGGCTGGGGGAAGAATCCTCCACTGACCGTCCCTGGGATGTCCCCCTTGCAGGCCTGCTGTGCGTGACCTGCACCGACATGGCAGTGATGGCTGGGAACAGCGGGGAGACATGTTACAGCAAGTACGGAGCCATGTCCATCAAGGGCAAGTTCTGCCATGAGATGGTGAGTGGGGGCGGGGCCTCTGCCTCCATGCCCCGCCCCGTCAACCTGCCTGCCCCCTAGAGCAGTGCTTCTCAAACCTTCGCAACCTGAGGACCCTCATTTTGATTTAAAATTTTTCATGGACCCCCCAAGCCGGCTTCTAATTTTCCCCAGGGGTGTGCAGCCCCCACTCCACCCCTCCCCCCAAGGCCCTACCCCTGCCCCTCCTCTTCTCCGCCCCCTCCCCCAAGCACACCCCGTCCCTACTCCTCACCCTCCCTCCCAGCGCCTCCTGCACACTGTTGAACAGCTGTTCCGCGGTAGGCGCTGGGAGGGAGAGCGAGGAGTCGATCAGTGGGGCCAGCGGCCCCGGCCGTGACTCGCTGCCCCCCAGTTTGAGAACCGCTGCCCCAGAGGGAAGGGGAGCTCAGCCTGCTCCCTGGCCCATTTAGTCCTGGGGCCCTACTTGCGATGCTGGTCCTGCTAGGGCTGGGCTGAGACCTGGCGCACGCGTGTCCCAGCAGAGCTGGGCGTGGGAATCCGGCCCAGTATTGGAAGGGGAGCGTGGGCCCCAGACCCGGGCCGTACCCCAGCGCTCCACCTCTCCCCGCTCCCGCCTCGCGGGCAGATCCTTGAGCCCGGCTCTGCAGCGCCCGTTTCCACGCGCAGGCCCTGCGGATCATCTTGCACAGCCTGGACCTGCGAGCCAACTGCTACCAGCGCTACATCGTGCCGCTGCTGGCGGTCAGCGCCGACTTCTACATCCGGGTCTTCGTGCGGGTCTTCACCGGCCAGGCCACCGTGAAAGCCTCTGCCAGGTGAGCCGGGCCCTGCAGGCGGGCGTTTCATCCTGGGGCGCCGGCCAGAACTGGGCCAAGCAGCTCACCCTGCTCTCCACAGCGCCCCCTGCTGGAGAGGCCAGGAGCTCCCCCTCCCCCCAGCCCTGCAGCGCCCCCTGCTGGCATCCCCCCCGCTTGCTGTTCACTGAATCGCCTCCTGTCTCTGCAGCAAACAGGCCCTGGTGTATAACTGTGTGGGCTGCGGGACGCACCACTTCCAGAGACTCGGCAAGATGACCAGCCACGGGAGCAAGTAGGGGCTCCGGGTTCTCCACCTCACCCCGGGACAGGGGCTGACTCCAATTCCTGGCCCTGGAGAGCCGCGGGCGGGGACCTGTCCTCGGACCTAGTGCCCACTGGATGGGAGAATCCAGTGCTGGAGATGCAGAATGGATGGGGGGAGTGGAGAGGGGATGACTGGTCCCTGGAGGGGGGCCTGGCCTGGGAGAGCTGGGGGGTGGAGCTGGACTAAGATCTCAGGTTAGGACAGTGGGGTTGGATGGGTGCTCGGGGGTGTTGGAGGGGGGCTGGGATGGAGGGGCGCAGCTGGGGAAGGGGCTCTACCCCATTAGATCTCTAATCACCCTTCTGATTGATTCAGTTTTAAATACTCGGCTGCCTCTGGCCCCCCAGTGGGCCCCTCCTGTGAGCACTGCCACCAGCGGCACCAGGTGAGCCCCCCCGCTCCCCCCGGTGCACCCCGCTCCCGTACGGCCGGGCACGCTGCCCTTACCTGCTGTTCTCTCCCCCAGCTGGGTGGCCCCATGTGGGCAGAGCCCCTCCACGACCCAGCTTTTGTCCAGAGGGTCCTGTCGGCCTTGGGGAGCAACCCGGGACGGTTCGGGACACAGGATCGGATCCAGGGGGTGCTCAGCATGGTGACCGAGGTGAGGGGCCAATGGGGCAGCACCCCCCGGGGAACAAGCGGCATAGGGCAGAAGGGCCCTGCTGGGGAATCGGGTTGTCTTTTGGGTCTGAGTTGGGGAGCATCGGGGAGGGTGGGGGCGTGGTCAGTTGGGTTTCTGGGGGCGGGGCCTGTGCTGATCCACCGTGTTCCCCTCTGGCCAGGAGCTGAGCGACGTCCCGTTGTACTACACCCTCGACTGCCTGAGCAGTACCATCCACTGCAACACCCCCTCCCTGCTGCAGTTCAGGTACTCTGGGCGTTACGGGACCGGCCCCAGGTGCCGGGCGTGGGGCAGAGCCAGGGGCAGCCCCTGCCCCAAGGAGCTTCTGCTCCAAACACCCCTGGAGTGGGTGGGGAACTGAGGCACAGAGCCAGGAGGGGACCCGCCCCCAGGAGAGCGGGGGCAGAGAGCCAGACCGGGCCCCCCCTCGACCGGGACACGCTACCTCTAAGGTCGGGATTGGAAGCAGCACATTTTCCCCCAGGGGAAGAGCATCCCCCCGCTCCACTTAACACTAGGGAGTGCTGGGGAGAGCACCCCCTCCTGAGCTGCCCCCACCTCGGAGAGCCCCGGGGCCCACAGGCAGCAGAGGGTTCCCACTCCAGCATGGCCTGAGGGCTCCCCTCCGGTTCCAGATCCGCCCTCCTCCACGCCGGCTACCGCGTGTCGCTCTCCCACGCCTGCAAGAACGCCATCAAGACGGACGCGCCGCCCTCCGTCCTCTGGGACATCATGAGATGCTGGGTGAGTGGGGTCGGGGGGACTTAGCGTTCCTCATCCCCCCCTGCCCCAAACAGGTCACAGCTGATGGGGTGCCTGGCTGGCTGTGAGGCTAGTTAAGGTAGCGGGGGGAGGCAGGGGGGACCTATCTGTTGCGGCTCAGGATTGAGGGCCACCGGCTGAACTATGTGTGGAGGGAGTCCAGGGCTGCGGGGAGGGGAAGTCAAGGAAAAAAATGACTTGATCTCTCTCCCCAGGAGAGACTCCATCCCGTGAAGAGAGAGCGACTCTCGGACACCAGCCCAGCCTTCCACATCCTCTCCGTGGAGCCCACGTACGGCCTGGGTGTTCGAAGGGAATCAGGCCCGCACCTGGCGCACTGCCATCTGTGCTGGTGGGAGGCAGTGTGGCCTAGTGGGGAGAACGCTGGACCAGCACTTGAGACCCTTGGGTTCTAGGCCTGGCTCTGCCACTGGCCTTCAGTGTGGGTGGGGTCATGTCCTCCCGTGCCTCAGTTTCCCCATTTGTAAAACAGTGGTACTGATGCTGACCTTCTGTAAGCGCGCTGGGGAAGAGGCGGGGAGGGATGGGGGGCTGGTATAGCCTCTCCAGGGCCCTGCCCCTGTCGTGCAGAGGTTCTGGGAGGCTGCCAAACCCTGCTGCTTCAGGGCAATGCAGCTGTCTAAGGTGGATTAAAGAGGAACTTTTCCCTGCAGGTGTGTTGAGCAGCTGGGAGACACGGGGCTAGCCTGGCTTTGAGCCCAGTGGCCCCCAGCCCTCTGGTCTGAGCCAGAGCAGCAGGGGGTGTGTGTGTGAGGAATACCAGGCTAGATGGGCCCATGGGGCTGATCCACTCTCCCCGCCCCCCCAGGCTGCTCCGGAAGCACGCCTGGCAAAGCACTCAGCCATCTGTCTCCCTCTCCTCCATGCCCCAGGCTGCAGGCATCCTTCACCGTCCGCGAGGACGCCAACCCCAAATCCAGGAAGCAGGGTCTGAAACGATTCCAGGAGAATCCCGAAGCGTATTGGGGCCCTAAAGCCAGAGCGAAAGCAGGGTAAGGGGGGCCAATGGACTGGGCCAAGATTGAGCGGGGAGGGTGTGTGTGTGCGCGCGCGCGCTCACATGCAGGACTCCTGGGTTCTATTCCTGGCTACGTGGGGTGAGTGGGCCAGTCACTCCCTGCCTCAGTTTCCCCACTGTAAAGTGGGGCTAGGGCTGGTTGGAGACTTCACGGGGGTGCAAAGTGCATCTGTGACAGGAAGGCACCAGCTGTGACAGCTGCAGGGATGCCTAGTGGGGAGGAGTTAACGCTAGGGGCGGCTGTTCTACCTTGAATCCAACTCCAGACCAGAACGACTCTGGATACAGAGCAGAGCAAGGTCCCACCTCTGTGTGGCTACTACCCAGCCAGACTGGTAGCCCTTTCCTGCTTCTATTTGGTCTCTTTAAAGCCTCCAGCCCCTGTGGATACGTGAACGCTCCTCGGGGCCTGGTGTTATACAGCTGCCATGCTCCACCCCAGAGGTAGCTGCTGTCACTCCTGTCTGTAGCTGAGCAAACTCCACTGCTGGGGGGTGAAGCTAACCCTGGGGGCTGGGCTGAGCTCACAGCCCTCCTCACCCAGCCCCCTCCTGCCTTTCCAGGGGCGGCATTTCCACCTCCCTGCAGGACAAGCGGAAGCTGCATCAGAACAAGCGGAAGGAGAGAGCGGAGGACGGGGGCCACTTGAAAAACATCCCCTGCAAAAGGCTCAAGGAGGTGAGGACTGGCTGGGGGGGCTGTGAATCTGGGGGAGGGAGCGGGGGTCAGAGGTGTGGCAGCTCCTGGCCCCGGTGTGGCTGTAATACCCCATAACCCTGACTGTAGCTTCTCTCTCTCTGCTAGGGGAGCGGCGCGGGGGCTGAGAAGTGCTGTCCCTCCCCTGAACCAGCCCCAGAGCCCGTGAAGACCGACAGCCCCCCCCAGTAGCCCGGCCCCTGGCAGGAAGAGAGGCTACGGGGCTTTATTTTTTAGTTCGGTGAAGGTGCAAGCGCTTTGTTTTAAGACTGATGGTCTCCGTGCGGCCGGCCATTAAAACAAGGGTGTCTCCTTTTTATGTACAAGCCCAGACTTGTGTCATGCTTCTGTGTGGGGCACGCAGGGGGGAGCTCAGCCCCCTCCCCACCACTTCCCAAAGCAGGCACTGAGGGGAAGGCAGGGCTGTGCCCTGAGCCCCCCAGCCTCGGGCGGAGGAAGGGTCCCCTAACCACAGCCCGGCTGGACACCAGACAGGATGGTGGAGCTGCTCTGCCTCGGTTTCCCCACCGGCAATTGATCAGGCATGTGGGGGGGGAGTTGGGACTCCTGGGTTCTACGCGCAGCTCTGCCCCTGCCCTGGTGTGTCCCCTCTGCCTGCATCCCCCGAGCAGGACTCCACCACGAGCACCTAGACTGAGCTCCTTGTTTATTAACAATGGCACTTAGACCCACACTACCCCAGCCTCAGGCTGAAGGGGCAGGTGGGTAGAAATCAGAGGCGGTGCTGAGGAGTTGGGGGGGAGGGGGCTGGGCTCTGCCCCCTTCTCCCCCAAAGCCGGCACTGCCTTAAAGCAGGGCCTGACAGGTGCAAGTTTGGCTCTCGCTGGGTCGCTTTCCAAGGCAAGTCTCTTCCAAGCCTCCCAACAGCCAGGATGTGCCCCCCCAGCTCCCACTCATTCCCACCAGTCAAGTTCTCAGGTGGGCAGGGCCCCACCTGGCTGAGGTGGGGGGGGCAGCAGTTCAGGGCTCCACCTGGGCGGCTTGATCCTGGGACGGAGGTGGGGGGCTGGCTCCCGCTACAGCTCTGCCTGGCCCCCGCTGGGGCCCGTGTACTGGATGGTGGCCAGGAAGGTGCGAATCTCCATGGGCTGCAGCGTGACTCCCAGCGGGTTAAGCCGAGGGTAGGGCTGGCGCCTTGCTGCACCTGGGGGAGGAAGCCATGGGGTTAAGGGCCTGGGGGCCAGCAGAGGGGCCCTGGGCCTAGAGGCCGCCAGTTTCTCCACGGGATGGTGGATACAACCCTCCCCTGTGTCTGAGAGCCCCTCCCCTGTGTCTGTGAGCGCCCCCCCACCCCATGAGTACAGCCGAGGAGCCCACCTACACCCCACAAGGGGCCAATGTGCCAGCTGCCCACCCTCCCCTAGGTAAGGGGGCAGGTGCTGGCTGTGCAGGATGGGGGGGACACTGCTCCATGCTCTAGTGCTGGGGGGGGGGGGGGTGACCTACCTGTGGCTGGCCTCCAGTTGAGCCGGTTCATGGCCTCTCGCTTCTGGTTGGCCACCAGGTTCATCTCCTGCAGGGAGGTGATGGTGAAGGAGGAGAACAGGTGCTGGGGGGGTGGGGAGAGAGACATGGTCAGTAACTTCCTCAGGTGAACCCTGCCCCCTGCTGGCCACCCCCAGACCTGCAGGGGAGTAGGCGGCAGCAGCTCCACACCCCACCCACCCCGACACACGGGACTCCCGCAGTCTGGTGTGAAAACAGGATTCTGTGCTGGCCGTCCTCCACCTCTGGGTGGGGCTGCTCATTTGTGCTCCACCCCAGAGCTGGCTGCATTTCAGTGGCAGAAAGGGGAGCCCTGGGGAGACAGCAGCACCCACCTCTGGGGGGCAGGGGTTAGCATCAAGTGGGTGAGGGACCCTCCATCAAACAGCTGCTACACCTCGTGTCTAAGGATCCCTTTCCCGGTGTGGGACAGGGCAGCTGTTTTACACAAGTGTACTAGGGTGATGCTAAGATCCACCCCAGAGGTGGCTGCATTGCAGCACCAGGCAAGGGAGCCTGAGCCTGTCAAGTGCTTTAGATGAAAAATCCTCCAGGCCAGTGGCTCAGCAAGTCCCGATGCCCCAGCCCAGCCCAGCCCCTGCTGTTGGGTACCTACCAGCAGGTCGACAGTGATGGGCTGGGAGCCGTTGGCGCTCTCCCCTCTCTCAAACTGGTGCTCCAGGCGGATGAGGACGGAGCTGGGGTCCCACTGGGCCAGCGTCAGGAGATGGATGGAGGGGGGAAGCGCTTGCTTCAGAGCAGAGAACTGGGGAGGGAGGAAGGGGAGACACGGCGTCAGGCTGCCAGAACAGCGCCACCCAAGGGAAAGTTTTGGCAAACTAGACAAGTCACCACCCACCCCTGAACTAGCTCAGTTCCCCAGGCTGCCCCGGTGCCTGCAGGGCTGCGCAGGGTGGATACAACCCGCTCCCCTTCTCCTCCAGGGGCTGGCCTGGGGCTCCCAGCAGGCAGCAGTGTCCCCCTACTGCTGAGGGAAGGGGGGTACAGGGGGAGCCCTGCTTTCAGCAGAGAGCAGCTGCCTCGTCACAACCCCTCAGTTTACTTGAGCCCTCAATTTTCTGTCGAAGAGCAGCTTGGACAGAACATGGGGTGATCGGCTCAGCTGCCCTCACGAGTGAGTCACCCCAGCGCAGGTTTCACTGGGGGCATAGCCCCATTTGTGGAAGGGGGTCATGCGTCCCCCCATCCCCCGAGCAGGGAGCACAGGGCCATCAGCTCTAGCCCTTTTCATTAGCAGATCACAAAGCTCCCATGATGGGGTTAACCTATAGTTCCCCATAGCCTGCCCCCGGGCTGTTGGGGAGGGGGCAGGAGCTGTAGGACTGGGAGAAGGGGGAGAGGTACGGCGATCAGAAAGACAAGGATTTCTCTCCTCGTCCAGCCCAAGGAGCCCTGCCCTGGAGGGAGGTGAGGTGGGAGCTGAATCTGTGTCGAGCAGGGCTGAGACCCCCACACTCGTTTCACAAGTGGGTGACGCAGTGGGGAACAAGCAGCCCCTGGCAGGATTCAAACCAGCGACCCAGCAGCTCACAGTCCCCCTCCCTAAAGCACAGAGCCCTGCCCAGGCACCTGCTTGAGGCTGCGCTGCCCCCGGTGGAAGGAAGGGCCCCCGCCCGGGGCCAGGACCAGCTGGGGCGCCATGAACTCCTGCTGGGCCTGCAGCCGGTGCCGGTCAGCCGAAGACTCCACCGTGTCCAGGAAGACGAGGTGCCGGCCCCTCACCACCAGGCCGTCGTTGTAGACCCCCGGCTCCAGCAGGGGCTCCCCCACCCCGCGGTTGTCATCGTAGAGCAGCCGCCGATGCACCTGGCCGCAGGGAGGGAATGTCAGAGCGGCTGCTGCACTGGGGGCTGTGAGCGCCCCCTGCTGGCCAGCCCTGGGCACTGCACGCTGCACTGGTGCAAGGGATCATAGAGCTAAGGGCACCACCTGCTGGTGCAGCCCTGCTTCTGCAGGATGGGGAGGATACACAGGCCCAGAACAGAGGGGGGGGTGGGGGGGGGGAGGGGGGGGGGGGGGGGGGGTAATCCTGCCCTGGG